ATCACTGCATCAACCTTATCCTAGGGTCCTCGCCGGTGGCGGTCCGGCCCTACCGCTCACCCTGGGCATTCGATCAGACCGAACCGATCGGTTCGGTTCCTCGATCATTCGGTCAGTTCGGTCATCAGAAACCTGGGACCGATCGGTCTTTGCAAAAAACGAAGACCGAGGAAGTTCAGTCTCGGTTAGTTCGGTTCGGTCTCGGTCACGACCGAACTAACCGGACCTGAGTAGCAGCCACAAACAATAGCAGAATCTATAGCAATTTTCAACAGCATGCTTGCTATTTGAAGGCAAAAAAATAACAACACAATATATAAAACAAACCACACATTATTATGACAAGTTCTAGCACACAACTTTCTCAGTTCTCACAAATCACATTGGACTAGGCCTCAATTCAATGGGCTTTCATCAGTACATTACGAACGAAGTCTACAGAACTACGGTCAGCTCGATCACTTCGGTTAACCGACACATATGACCGAACTTCTATCGGTTACTTCGGTTAGTTGGGAGCCAGGACCGACCTCATGACCGAACTTTTCGGTCTCGGTCTTTTCGGTTCGGTCTTCGGTCTTCGGTTAATTATGCCCAGAGTTACGTACCGCTACCATGCTTCACACAAGGACGAGCTGGAGCACCAATGCACCACCATGCTGGAACAGGGGCTTATCCAGCACAGCACATTGGCGTTCTCCTCCTTGGTCTTGCTGGTCAAGAAGGCCGATGGGACGTGGTGTTTCTACGTCGACTACCGAGCCCTCAACGCTATTACAGTCAAGGATGCCTACCCCATTCCAGTGGTTGACGAGCTCTTGGATGAGTTGAATGGTGCCCGGTTCTTCACCAAGTTAGACCTCCACTCCGGCTATCATCAGGTTCGCATGAACCCAGTCGACGTGGAGAAGACGGCGTTCAGAACCCACGATGGGCTCTATGAGTTCCTCGTCATGCCGTTCGGGCTGTGCAACGCCCCAGCAACATTCCAAGCATTGATGAACGATGTTCTCCGCCCCTTCCTGCGTCGCTTCATCCTCGTCTTCTTCGACGACATACTAATCTACAGCGCCTCCCTGGCTGAACACCTTCGCCATGTGTACGCTGTCCTCACCGTGCTGCATCAACATCGACTATTCGTCAAAAGATCGAAGTGTGCCTTCGGTGTTGACTCCATCGCGTATCTAGGGCACATCATTTCAGCATAGGGGGTGGCCATGGATCCTGATAAAGTCCAGGCCGTCGCTGATTGGCCATAGCCCCGATCGGCATGCGTGGTTCGTTGGGCTTGCGGGGTACTACTGCAAGTTCATCAAGGATTTTGGCGCCATAGCAGCACCACTGACGGCCCTACTGAAGAAGGAGGGGTTCACTGGAATGAGGCAACGGCCGCAGCCTTCGTCACCCTCAAGACGGCCATCACTATAGCACCGGTACTGGCCCTGCCCGACTTCGAGTAGCCATTCATCGTGGAGTGCGACGCTTCGACACATGGCTTTGGGGCCATTCTCCTTCAAGATCAGCACCCCATCGCCTTCTTCAGCCGCCCTACTGCCCCTTGACATCAATCCTTGGCGGCATATGAGCGGGAGCTGATTGGATTGGTGCTGGCCATCCGCCATAGGAGGTCATACCTTTGGGGACACCGCTTCCTGGTACGTACTGACCATTTCAGCCTCAAATTTCTTTTGGATCAGCGGCTGGCCACCATTCCCCAGCACCATTGGGTGGGCAAGCTACTGGGCTTCGACTTCTCCGTGGAATACAAGGCGGGCAGCACCAATACGGTAGCCGACGCCCTGTCCCGCCGTGACACGGAGGAGGCAACGATCTTGGCGCTATCGGGACCGTGCTTTGGCTTCATCGAACGCCTATGACAAGCTACTATTTAGGACCCCATGCTGGTCGCCATCAAGGCGGAGATCAGTTCCTCCCAGCGCGCGGCTCCCTGGTCCCTCATCGATGGGCTGGTCGCATTCGAGGGGCGCCTCTACATCCCGCCTGGCGCCCCCTCCTCTAGGAACTCATCGCTGCCATTCACGATGACGGCCACGAAGGAGTCCAACACACACTCCAGCGCCTCCGCTGTGATTTCCACTCGCCGAACCTGCGTGCCGTGGTCCAGGACTATGTGCGTGCGTGCGCCACCTGTCAACGCTACAAGTCCGAGCACCTGCACCCAATAGGCCTTCTTCTTCCCCTACCGGTGCCAACAGCAGTTTGGGCGGACATCGGGATGGATTTCATTGAAGCTTTGCCGCGTGCGGGAGGCAAATCCATCATCCTCACCATTGTTGATCGGTTCAACCAATCATCGCCACTTTATTCATTGGCCCATCCTTACTCATGAGTCCGTGGCGCGAGCTTTCTTCTCCGACATCATCGTGCTCTCAGACGGTATCCCATGATCCATTGTCTCGGACAGGGACCCCGTGTTCACCTCCATCTTCTGGAAAGAGCTGCTGCGCCTTGCTGGAGTCAAGCTACACATGACGATGGCATTCCACCCGCAGTCTGATGGCCAGACAGTGGCAGACAACAAGGTGATCATCATGTATTTGCGATGCCTGACTGGCGATCGCCCCCGTCAGTGGCTGCCATGGGCGGAATACATCTACAACACCGCTTTTCAGTCCGCGCTCAAGACCACACCATTTCAGCTCGTCTACGGCCGTGAGCCACCCTCCATCCGCTCCTATGAGCCTGGCGAAACTAGGGTGGCTGCGGTGGCCAAGACCATGGCTGAACGCGATGAAATGCTGGCTGATGCCCGAGCCCGGCTGGAGAAAGCTCAGGACGTCTACAAGTGGTTCTACGACAAGCATCACCGCGACGTTCACTACAGCGTGGGTGATTAGGTCTGGCTTCCTCCGCCATCGCGCCCCGGCCTCCCTCCATGGCGTCACCAAAGGGAAGCTGCGACCCGGTACTATGGGCCGTACCGCATCTCTGCCATCATCAACAACGTCGCCTACCACCTCAAGCTCCTTCCCGCGCCCGGTTGCACGATGTCTTCCACGTCGGGCTCTTGAAGAAGTTCGTGGGTACTCCCCCGGCCACCCCCCCGGCTCTGCCTCCTATGCATCATGGCGCCACACAGCCGGTTCCAGAACGCGCCTCAAGATCCAGGCTGGCCCGAGGCGTCCGCCAAGTCCTGATCCATTGGGAAGGCGAGCCCTCGGCCTCCGCTACCTAGGAGGACATTGACAGCTTCACCGAGCGTTACCCAAGCTTCTAGCTCGAGGATGAGCTGCTCATCGAGGGGGGGAGAGATGTCATGTGGGGCCGACAGTACAGTCGCTGGCCTCGAACACAAGGTGCAGCCGGGGCAGTCCCCAAAGGGACGCATGGCCTGGAAGAACCCAAGGAGGTTTAGGCGGCTGGAGGGGCTGCAGTCTCTAAAGTAATTAAGTAGAAGTTGAAGAGATTAAGGAATTAATTAGCCAGCTAGCAGTTAATGGCTGGCGCAAGTAGCAATGGAGCAGAGCTCCTATATGTACCCCTATACTCGTTGAAGGAAGTAAGAAAGAAGTTATTCCCTAATCTTCCCCTTTCTCTGATATTCTTAATCTCATCTCCTGCTGGGGTAGTCAAGCAAAAACCCTGGCACCTCCATTACCTGGTTCGAGTTATGAGCTGAGAAGTTAGGGGCCTCCAACTCTAGGCGCCTAGGTCCTTGACAAATGAACTCCACGGCCAATGCTTTAGCTCATCAAGCTTTCAATTCTAATTCTGTATCTACTGTGTTTTCTTGTAATGCTGCCCATCATAGGCACCTTGATCAGTGCCCCATACAAATGGCACTCTCGACTGTAAGCTGGAAGCCATGCAACATTCTAGTACGTGTAAGATGTTGTTAAATTAATGTATGCAAAAAAGGCGAGCGGACGCGATATGCCTATATGCTCCTTCCGCACCGTTTTCAGCTATAGTTCCTTCCTTCCTCTCCGCACCGTTTTCAGCTAATGTGCCGAGAGCATCAGATTTGTTCTCTTCTCTTTTCTTTCTTCTCTCTTCTATTCTCTTGTCGGAAGAATATACCCAGTAGCCAGTAGGGCGGGTTTCCAGTTTCCACACGAGCACACCGCCGGGCGCCGGCTGTCCAGTCCAGGGGACACCCTTCCTGTCACACCTTTTCTGGAAGCAGCAACGTCAGACTACGAATATTATCCTTCAAGTTCCAACCCACCACAATTGTTTTTGTGCAAGCAAACAATCCCAGAGCAGCAGCAGAGTAGTCCAACCAACACAATTTTTTTTTGTGCAAGCAAACAATCCCAGAGCAGAGTAGCAGACATGAACATCATGGTGCAAGGTAGCTTCATGGTGCATAGAAATGGGACACAGCATCAATGCATCATCTGATATACAGCCTGTTCGGCTGGCTGGCTGGTGCTGGCCAGCCCTCTCACGCGGGCACTGTTCATATAAACAGTGTTTTCAGCCAGACACAGTATTTTTCTCTCACACAAACCAGCCTAGCAGTACTTCGAACCAGCAACGAACAAGCCAACAGTACCGAACAGGCTGATAAATATCGATCTTCATCGAAACCAATGGAAACAAAATAGGAGCAGAGTACCACTAATCCATCAGTATTATCGGACTTCGCATGATTGTACTCTACATCCAAACATCCGAAGAACAGAGCTGTCAAAAATACTACAATATCCAACATCCACATTAGTACACGACTACAACTGTAAAACAACCACACGATCACATTTACAATGAACCACATAGCCATCCAAAACTTAAGGGTACAGTTGTTGATGATATAATCAAGTCAACAACATTTATGCGTTCAACTAGTACAATCTGAATGAATCAGGATCGCAAAGAGCGACTAACAGAGGAAGAGGACAACGGTTCCTAGCTTACGAAAAAACTGAGTTCAGCCTGCCCTGTCGAACTTTGAGTCACAGAGCTAACTAACAGAGCACACATTACAACAAAATGGTGCTCTGCACAACTAAGCAAACATTTTAGCAGGCTGCCACTCAGCAGAACTTCCAATGATTGTTGCAGTTCACACATGTGACGAATGTTGTCATCGGTTCATCAGCACTCCGAGTCTGCAGCTGATAGTAAGTTGTCTTCCGCTGACCACATCTGCCACACTTGAACTGATCCGTCGTTGCCTTCGGTGCTCCTGCCCGCTCACACTCAAACAGAGCCTTCTCCTTAATCTGCATATTCTCTTGCTTCCTTGCATCACTAGCCATCTCATCAGGAGATATGTCTGGAAGCCCCTCTGGCGTCACTTCACCAATAAGAACCCTTCTCCGGAAATCAGTGTTGTTTTCAGCCCTCAGGTTGAACATGATTGACCTATATTTTGTCTTATGAGCCCCGGTGGAACGTCCAAGCCTCTCAAATAGTGCAGACTCTACTTTCACAGCAACTCTGAATGGGTCACATGCATCAACTTCATCCAAGATGTTTCTCACTTCATCTCGGTCATCATTACTAGTCTCTCTGGAAACCTTTGCAAAAGCTTCAGCAAGCAGTTCCCGGATTTTATCTCGGGTAGGATCATTGCATTTGACAAGAGATGTAAGCTTTGGGGGACCGCTGGGGGTGGATGCTGGCTTCTTTGCATCAGGAGTTCTACTGACTTCTTTGGATACCTTTTCAACCTTCACAGATTGAGTTCTGGAACCATTGCTAGCGGTCTTCTCAACTTTGACATTGTCAGGCTTCTGACTCCTAACACCCACATCTCTTTTCTCAACCTTCATGCTTGCTGATGCAGAATTCTTTTCAACCTTCATGGGCCTCACCTTCTCAACCTTTCCAGAAGAGTCACTTGATCTTTCATTCTCTGAGCTGCCATTTTTCTTTCCTGACTCTTCAAGGACAACCTTTTTCCAGTACCCAAAAAGGTCTGCAGCGACTGCCTGGATGCCTGAGTGAGGGTGCTTAGTAAGGTGTCGAAGACGTTTGCCAACCTGACAAAAAAGCATAGCATGTAAGGACTAAGTGGCATAAAAAAAACTAAACTGGAACCAATATATAAATGTCTTAACAAACAGTAAACAGGCCAAATAGAAAGCATAAGCTCAACACCTTAGTATTAAGCTGATATGTTTTTGTGGCAACCCTGTTTTACTCAAGAATTTAGTTAAAAATGGATCGAGTTCTACCTGCCAGAATTGATGTGTGTGTGTGTGTGTGTGGGGGTGGTGTTCAAAATTGAATGCTATGTAGTAACATTTGCTTTACCAAAAATATGAAGAAGTTTCAATCGAGTAACTGGCTTCCTAAATCAGAGGTAACTATATACTGTAAAAGGAACCGTATTAGGCACATTGAACGTTCATGTTCCACAAGCTTTCGTGACAAAATCCGCAAACGACAAAACAACTAGACTCCAGTAACTTCTTTATCTGAAAATCATTACAACTAGATTCCACAAAATCAAGATTAAACCAATACCCAAAAAAAAGTAATGAAATTTCCATATCGACCACAACGGAGTTCAGCAAATTCAGGAGGCAAACCTCAACACAACCCATATCTATCAGGCACGAACTGTGTCCTTTAAAAAATCCCAGCCACCTACCCCTGCCTACAAACATTCCTAAAACTGGAAGCCATCTAACAAAAACATAAAAAATGTGCATTACAACTAGATTCCACAAAATCCGCAAACGACAAAATAACCGTTTGCCTCACCTTCTTTCCCGCCAAATCAGAATCCTGTGCTTAAACTGAATCAAATACAAGCCATTGTGCCTGATTCATGTCCGACAGTGGATTGACTATGATATTGAATCACAGACTAAACAAAAGTTGGTGCCTGGAACACCACTAGTCTACTACTGTTTGCAGAATGCCAGTCAAAATTAAACCAATACCAAAAAAAAGTGATGAAATTTCCATATCTGCCACAACAGAGTTCAGCAAATTCAGGAGGCAAACCTCAACACAACGCATATCTATCAGGCACGAACTGTATCGTTTAAAAAATCCCAGCACCTACCCCTGCCTACAAACATTCCTAAAACTGGGAGCTCTCTAACAAAAAAACATCAAACTGTGCAGAAAAGGAGAATATCATATACATATCCACCCCAAATAGGGACAGGAACCCACTAGATCTAATTCCAAACGAAGGCCCTGTTTTTTCGCGTCTCCCCGACGTCGTCTTAAAAGAGAGAGGGGAAACAGGCCGTCGATTCGACGAGCCATATCTACAGGAGACCCAAATTCAATGCGACAAGACCCATATCGCTCACGGTGAGATTGCCACCGCCGCACGCATCCACCGGGAACGACAAGACGAGAGTGGATTTCTCCGCCACCAAAACAATCAATTAATCAATCAATCTAATCGAGGCGGGCGACCGCTGACCTGCGTGGAGACGAGGATGTCGGTGTTGACGCGTATGCCGCGCAGCCGGCGCAGCGCGTCGAGGCAGCGGTCAGCCTCCGGCGAGTCGCCGTCCGCTGCTGTAGCGTCGGCCGCCTTCTTGGCCGCATCGAACGTCTCCAGCAGCTCCCTCTCCATGGCTTCGGCGTCGGGGCGGCGCAGCCTGGCCGGCGAGGCCGGATCAAAACCCTAGCTTGGCGCCGCCGTCCCTCCTGCTCGCTATCCTGTGTGTGGCGTGGAGGCGGAGGCAGGAGGAGAGAGAAAAGAGGTTGGACAGGGGCGGAGGGGAGGCCTTTATAGCGAACAAGCGGCTCACGGCGCGAGCGGCTTGTCAGAGCCCGCCGTTGATTCGGAGGCGGATTGTTCTGGAACGACACCGATCGGACGGCCCAGGAGGCGACACGTGGCCGGAAAGTTGTTAGAAACCAGAGTCCTGCTGCTGCAGTTTTATAGACTTGACAGGTGAACTGCTAGCCTCAGGCATGTTTGGCCCAGAATTGTTGGTGTGCCTTTAAAAAAGAAAGAATTGTTCGTGTGATTTTCCCCCTTGGTGAAACGTCTGCTGGCAGCCACACCGCTAGACAGAAGACGGCCAGCAGCCTGTTCGTTTGGTTGGATCATCTCGTTGGTGATTCGTGAAGACGGAAAAATATTTTTAATTTGAAAACTACTACTCGTAATCAAACAAGAAGAGCTGTACAACTACTCCTCGTAATCAGTGGCGTCACACGTTTCCGCAATTGGAATGAAAGGAGAAAGGTACGCCAACACTGCTAGTACTCATATTTCTTTGGTCACACACACAAGATCTGTGTCTCCTGGGTACAAAAAGAGAACAGGGGCAAAGTAAACCTAATCTGAATTTAGCATGCTCGTGTCATTGCAGAACCTCAGCGAATACATGAACTTTGAAGAGGTGCTTCTGGTGCTGCAGGGGGCTTGGGGACTGCTACCGGTACTGTGTAGCTCATCATAGCCAGCTTGAACTTTGGGCGTTGCTTGAGACCAGACCAGAAGGCCCACTGCCGTCAGCAACCTTTGCCAAGGAACGGTATTGCAGCTTCACACTCTCTGCGTTGTCTGAAGTCTTCACAACATACCTGTTATAAGCGAGCAATAGATCATGAAAAAAATTTACAGGTTTTCAAGTAGTGAGATAAGCATTGTGCTTGATTCCAGGAAGGTCAGTTAGGATGAAATTATTCTAACCATCCATTTAAGCATTGCGCTGTCACAACTGCTTGACGTCCCACAAACCGTTCTGGGGTCCTCTTGTTTCCCTGAAAAAATCATTGCACGCACTAGTTATTGCAGAAACCACAACACAGAGTGAATGAAAGCCACTGCTTAGTTGTCTTTCTGATAAAAATACCTTGATTATGACCCGGTCGAAGACAGCAAAAGGAAACTGCACACCTTTACCTCTACTAGCAAGTTCAGTTCGATTTGGATCATCGTCGCCACATTTATCCTCACATAGGGTAGAATGGATTTAAGAACATGCAACGAATATAGCTGCTGGATTTGAAGGGTTACTGATAAGCTGGAAAAGGGTTTATACCAGTTCAAGGCGGTCTCTTCTTCTTTTCAATGACTTTGCTGAATCTTCTTCACGTTTGAATGCCTGAACTGCAAGGCGAAGAGCTGAAAACATACCCAAAAGACAAACGGATGAAATGGAAGCTACAAAGTACCAGTTATATATGAATTGCATTGATTCTATGAAAAGCTAAGAAAAGAATTACATGTGGGATGGCAGGTATGCATGAAAGCTACAAAATATCTGGTAAATATGAACTGAACTGATTTCATTGAAAAAGTTTCAAAAATCATCCTGGACAACATTAACCGGGAGAGTTTACAGGAAGACATCTAGTATGTGCATATCGTTGCTTGTGCTCATAGGAGGACGTAGATGTGAGGGCGGGCAGGCATTAGTCTTGACAAAAAATTACTCAATCCATGGGTAAGAATCTTAAAGTTATACATATACCGTTAATCTATGATCCTCAACTATCAAAAGGTAAAAACAGTTGGTGCTACAGCTAAAGAGATTCATATGGAGAATGCCTAGTATGACATTTACCGAATAAAATAGGTATGAACATCCAAGCTAGTTAACACAATAGAATGGACTGTAACATATCTTAGTTGATACTTCTCAGCTCAAAGCCATACCCAAGTTTGGTCGAATGGAGGCCTCGGTAATTGGCAGGCCACATTTACCACAAGCTTTCTGCACACAAGGAATAGAGACTGTTATATATCACTTTCACATTCACTTGAAATTCCATAAAACCATTGTGTAAGCACTGATTGTTAGGGCTTCCAGTTTCCAGGTCTATCCAGTAAAGTCAATTCTTTGCAAATTGAAACTTGCATCATGTGTAATATGTGACAGCAACGAATTAATGACTAAAAAACATTGCTACAATATCATTTGTACCCCTTTATAGAGCTTTATACTGAATGAACAGACACACGTTGCGTTGGAAGCTTTGGATCATACAAGCTCTTGAAATGCATTGTTATTACTCTAAATAAGAGATATCCCATGCATTACTGGGTATAGGTCAAATCAGAGGCTAACAAACAACGCCCAGAAGGAAAAGCACTAAAATTCAAAGCCAAAACCAACTAACTGTGATTTGTTGAATATAGCAAACTTGGGCGAAGGAAATCTTAACAGTTAACACTAACAAACCCACAGGAGTAGGTACAAGCAGGATACAAAAAATACATGTTACATTTTAATGATCTAGTTTCTAGAGCCAAAAGTTTGGAACGGTATCAGGAGGTGAAGGTTCCTTTTGACATACCATTCTGTAGACATGCTGCATTCCACTACTTCCATATGAATGGCCACATGATAAAATCATTGCATCATCCATGAGAATACCTCTGCAACATGCCAGGAGATAAATGAAATGAGATTTTTGGAACAACCTTTTTAGTAAGAAGTAATATTTCTATGCCGCAAGGAAATCTGATTTGGTTATGGGTTCTGACAAAATGCAGTGTTAAACATGACTAATGATCATTTAAGGCGGAGGCAAAAGCTAGCATATCAAACAAATGATTGGGCACTAACTTGTCCCAGAGTACATGTCCCATGAGCATAGTTCAACCACTACAAATTATCATCATTTTTCAGTAAATAGCATTGTCATACAGTGCGGTAGACTGGTATAGTATATACTTGATATTAGCACTATAGAAGTCTCAGGTATATAATATTATGTGACTACACTACAGCGTGGATCAAGAAAGAGAAAGGGGCATGTTATCTCTACTACAAATAACTAAATTCTCAAGAAAACAACAGTCATGTTCGGGTACCCACGTCAAAGGATCAGAGAGGTGTGCTCTCAGCAGGTCCCAATAGCCAGATGCAGGACCCCCCTCTCTTCTTCCGACAACTCCATACCCATTCTCCGCCCTCATATCTCTGGGGATGGTACCAGGATCATCCCCTCCTGGTGATGCAAGCCCAAATTGGTGCCATTGCTGCCCCTCTTGGATGGACCTCACTCCAATTTCCCCATTCATCTCCGTGCGTCCAATACCTGGTGTACGATCAGCAAGCAGCAATGATCACCTTCATCCAGATACAGAAACACATAGAATCCCAACTGGTAGATAGAGGAAATTCCACTAGTCAGAGTCCACCATGAACGTGGCTTAATCATGGATGCGCACGAGTAATGTTTAACCATTCCACGCATGCAAGGCTGCAAGCAGCAGAATCCAATCTACCAGTAAGAGATGAAGACCTGAAAGCCTCTGTGCAAACCCTTGGTTCACCTGGAGCGGAGAAGGCGCGTCGCTGCGGCGAGCCGCGAGCCCCACCGTCGGACAGCTCGGCATCATCCTCTTCGGCGCTGTCGTCGTCCATGCTCCCCTCGTCTTCTTCGACCTCATCGTCGCCTTCGGAGGTGGCGGGCGGGTGATGGTGCTGCGACAGGAAGGGACCGGCGCCGCGGGAGGGGAAGTAGGCCGCAGCGGGAAAGGGGAAGGGCAACGGCAAGGGTGTCCCCCTCGAGGAGGAGGCCCCGCTGTTAGCCCCCGCAGGAGAAGCCATGGTGGCGCGGCCGCCGGAGCCGGGAAGAGGGTGGGGATTGAGACGGTGCTGTTTGGTGGACTCGGCGTGCCTTCACGCTTGTCCCAAGTGCGCTGTGCTGCGCCTGCGAGCCTGCGCTGGTCGCAGTTGGTGACCCGTTTGAACAGGTCTCTCACATTCAGAGCAATTTTGAACAATTTTCACATTTTGTCCTAAAACAAGAATAAGAAGTGTTACATTCTTGCATTTTTTGGGGAAATTTTTCTACATTACTAACAGCAGTCGCAAAATTCGAGAACGTAAAACTGAATATACCCAATATAAATCTTTTAATGTTATCTTTCTGATCATATATATGATCAAAACTTTTGAAAAAGTATAATGAAGTGAATATTATCTTTGATTAAACAAGTAAACAGTGAGCACTTTTGTATATCATGTTATAAAAGAAATGGTTTGATGTTCTATATTGACTTGTACCGTAGAACCATTCTGTCAGGGTTTATTTGGATATCATTTGCCATTCGTTTCATTGCAGTGGCGCCAATTATGCAGACATGCAGTGCAGTGAAGGGAATGGATGCTCGAAGGCAAAGCATGGACAGATTCCAGTAAAGCAGCTGCGAGCTATACATAGCTTGCAAAAGTTGCGCTTCAACTTTCCTTTTGTATCATCATCAATACAACAGCTACTCTACACTGAACAAGTTCCCTCTTGTATTACGCATCACCTAGGCTAGCATCTTTACAGCACCGAAGGAAAACGTCTCAGGGCATGGCGCATCACGCCTTCCCATTGCCTGTCTTCTTTGAGGCGAAGAGGTGGCGGACGACCGAGAGCTTGCTTGTCGCGCGAGAAACGAGCGAGAAGCCAGAGGAGCTCCTACTGCTCAGTGACGACCTTGTTTCTTCCGATTCCTCGTCTTCGTTTGGTTCTGAAAGCGGAGGCGGAGGTATTGTCATCAGGAAAGTTTCGAGCATTCGGATGATCTGGCTGAAACTGGGTCGCATGGCAGGATCCTCGACCCAGCATGATTGTACTATGAACACAAGCTCCTGGGGGGTCTCCTCAGGGAGAGCTGGGCGCTTTTGCTGTTGATATAAACAAGAGAAGATATTATCGACATCAGTAGACTGCAATCGAGAACAACAGTGTACTGCAACTGAAAAATGATGTAAAAAATGGCCACTATAGGTATGAGCTTGTTCAAAGTATTACAGATAAAATGGAGAGATTTGTTAAAGAGCGGCATTGATGAAGAGCGGCATTGATGTTATGTAAACCAGTTGGATGATACTATCACGATATGTTAACGCCTAGTTCTTCAATTCCAAACGATGTATGTAAAACAAATTCAGCAGACCAGTCATCATCACGACACATAAGGCTAAGAATTTGAAATTCCAAAACTTCCTTCCATGACAACATCAAATTCAAAACAATGCTTCTTTGGAAACAATTCTTTGTCATTTAATGTTTAACATTTTAGCCTTCACACTTTAGGCAGCCAAGCAAGTCCTTCAATGAGGAATTTAAGCATACAAGCACATACAATTTCTTGGCCATAGCATCTAGTAGTAAGAGGCTAACAGTTTTATCCACAAAAGAAGGTGTTACTAACTTGTGCAAGTATGGGCAACAGTATTTTCCTCCTTACCTGAAAAGCAGCAGCATATGCAGCTTGTAGATTCGACATGCCTTCAAATGGCATTCTATTAGTCAACAATTCCCACAAAACAATGCCAAAGCTGTACACATCCACTTTATTTGTGTAATGTTTTTTCTCACCACGTCGAAGTGTGACTGTGCTGTATAGCTGCACAATCACATAAAGAAAGAATATGAGCTACCCTTTGCACAGATCAGTACCAGAGTATCCTTTTTTTTATTAAAATAAATGGTACCAAAAACCATCAAAAGATGATACAGCTAGCAGACTAGCACATTACTACAGGAGCAAAAATTTTCTGTGGTTTTGGTTTCAGTATGTAATTGCACTAGCTTTAAGTTAATGCAGAAAATAGTGTTTACAACCTCTGGGGCCATCCATCGGTAAGTCCCAGTTTCAGCCGTCATCATTTCAGTCACAGTTTCTTCACGTGCAAGTCCAAAATCAGTAAGTTTCAGTTTCTTACGATTTGCTGTAAGCAATAAATTATCTGCACAAATATCGATAAAATAAGTATAGGGGATTTAAAGCAACGTAAACACCAACTACTAGAGGAACCAAGAAGGTCAAGAAGCAAAGCAAAAGACTAAACAGATTGCAACATTTTGAAGTAGAACCATGAGAAGGAAACTAAGGCTGGTGCTGTCATGCTGATATAGACTTGGGAATATTCAAATGCATATCCCGTAGGTCTTACAATAAGTGGGGAAAATGACAACACATATAAGTAGATGTGCAAACACCTCACTGAAAATTTTGAGTGGCTAAAGATAATCTATTTAAAGATCGACCATAATCTGGCAATACAAAACACACTCAAACGGACATACAGAGACCCGAAAGCTGCAACTAAAGGATCAAAGTATAGAACGCCAAAAGTCAAATAGCTTAAGCATCCTTACCAGGTTTCAGGTCTCTATGTATTATGCCATTGGCATGTAAACAGTCCATTGCATGAGCTATGTCAAGAGCATAGCTGATTGCAGTGTGTGTATCTAGTTGGCTAGGCCGAATGCTGTGCAGGTAACTTTTCAGTGACATCCCTGGTAGTAGCTCACTAACAATCACCATCAATGGTTCCTTGCAAGCTCCAATGAACTGTAGGAGTGCATAAAGTGTTATGAGGAGGTCCCAAAAGAATTGACAATTTGTGTAGCCACACAAGCATAACATTCAGACCAGGAAGTACCTTGACAAGATTCTCATGTTTCACTTTACACATCATATTTACTTCTCGAATGAAACGGGCTTCAAGTGTTGCTTTTTCTTCAGGGGTACTGCCACGGTTAAGAACCTTTATCGCTACAATTTGATCACCATACCTATTTGAAGCATACAAGAAAAACAGGATCACTGATATGACTTAATAAATATACAAAAGGCAAACGAAAAGAAACTGGTCGAATAAGTTTAGGGAAACGATATGATGAATTAGATGGCACAAGTTTCCTCATGTGAAGAGAATGTCATCTGAACTTGTGATGGTACCAAGATGTGAAGATGGTACCAACGGTCATCTATGACAGATTGGTATTTCTCTGGAGAGGAGATTGTTGGAGGTATACTCTCTACTGCCATCATGACTAGCATTTCCTCGAAGGTCCTAAAGGATGGCACAGCTCATGACTAATGTTTTGATTAAAAAAATCCTCCTGCATGCTAAAAATCTCAACAAAATATTGGAAGCCTGAAGTGAGTACCAGGCATGAATCTGCGTGATACTATAACCGATGGAGGACAGCTGGAGGATTTGGGCACCCTGAGAAACTAATTAATTTGAAGCATACTAATAGCCATTTTTTGCAAGGGTCTAGTGCATAACACACATTTAATTCGAGAAGAACTAAAACGGCAGCTAAAGCAGATACTCCAAAATCATCCCAGTTGATAAAGTAGCTATGACTTGGACATACATGTGAAAAAATAGGCACGGGTATGCACGTCTCAGAAACATATTTACTTACTTCCCCTTGTAGACCTTGCCATGAGCTCCCTCCCCAATCTTGTCCCCAACGAACAGCATTTTGGGATCGACAAGCAGCTTCCTGTCGATCCAGGACGCCGGCGCCGCGGCATCCGAGCTCCGTGCGGGCGCCACCGAATCATCAGCGGCGACCTTGCTGGGCCGCGGCCGCCTGAACTCCTCGCTGCCGCTGCTGCCGCCGTCCCGGCACCCGTCGCTGCCGCAGCTCATCGTCACGCGGCGCACCGCCGCCGGCGCTGAGGAAACGGCGCTGTCGGGGTCCGCGAACTTGCAGGACAGCCTAGGCATTAACACGGGCACCCCGCGCGCGTGCCCGAGCAGCGGGAGCCCCAGCCCGCGCGCCCCGCGCTCATAGGGTGCGCGCAGGTGATAAGGAATCGGAGCACGGGGGCCACGCCGGGGCACGAAACTTCCTCCACCGGCTAAAGTTTCGCAGCCGCGTGATGAACAAACGACGGCGATTTTTTAAACCTTTTCCCACACAAAAAAATCCCGCAACATTTCTGTCAGAAAAGGATCCAAATTCCAGCCCGAACGTTCCAGAGAGCCGCGATTCTTACCTAAAAACCTCGGGAGGAAATAGCCGACAGCCCAAACGCTTCAGAGAGCCCACACACGGCCGGACGAAAATAACCGATTTCCCCAACGAGCCGAGCGGAGAGCTGCGATTCTCAACTCAGGAAATGAGAAATTTCGCAACAAAATTCACGGGTGCGGGCAGAACCCTAACCCTAGAGGATGCGGGTGAGATTTGGTGCGGCTCCGCGGCGTGGGGTTGGGGGATGGTCGTCGTCACTCGTCGTGCGGGGAAGGGAAGGGAAGGAAAAGTCGGGGGGAGAAGGTATCGGGGGGAAGCAGAGTGAACCGCAGTGGACAGCTTTTTATAGAAGGTCGCTGGGCTAAAGCAAAGCCAAAGCAGGAAGCAGGCGGCCGGTAGGTGAATTGGCATGTGCCCCCTGTTCGTACCACAGATTGCGCCCATGCCCAAAATATCTCTTGCCCAAAGGCACCGTACTATGTACCCCAAGATCTGCTGCATTTGGTGCTCCATGTGGGGTGGTTTTTTTTTCACGGCTTTGAGAAATAGGTTTATCCTTCACATAAAAATTGAAAATGGTACCCTAAGCTAGTGATAGGAGATAGAGATCACAAGTTGGCTACCACACATCAAGGGTTCAAGGCACGAGGAATGGAACATCGGATATGATAATTACATACCATGTCAATAAGGCGTATAAAGCTATATAAAATGATTTGGAGTATAGGACACCATATGATGGCGATAACATTGGCTACCGTGTTAAGACAAGTAAAATGATGTAAGGTTTGGGATAATTATGTAGCCGAAAAAGTAGATGCTACGTGAA